TAGGCTAATTGGTTGACAACATGACAGGCTTGTTGGTAGGCTGATTGGTTGACAAGATGACAGGCTGGTGGGCTAATTGGTTGACAAGATAACTGGTGGGTTGGTAGGTTGATTGGTGCACAAGATGACCGGCTGGTTGGTAGACTGGTTGGTTGACAAGATGTCTGGCTAGCGGAAAGGATGATTGGTAGAAAGCTGACTGGCTGGTTGGTGGGCTGATTGGCTGGAAAGATGACTGGCTGGTTGGTAGGCTGATTGGCTCACAAGATGACTGGCTGGTTTGTGTTGGCATGTACATTATTTATTAATGTTTTCAAGAACAGCATTTTTGTATTAAAATCTGAAGACCCAAGGTCAACGGTGTTGTCATCTGACACGGAATAACCTTATTGAGTTGGCTCACTGATGGCAGGCAAACACCTGTTCCAAGTCTCCTGTAAAAGATCAGCCAATGAAAACAATACAGCACTTGAACAGTAGTCACATATCTGAGTTTTTTAACCCGGCCTCTCCAGCCTACTTTGGCCAGAAAACCTGCGGACACACTACTTTGCATCATTTGTCAAAGCGGCTTGCCTGCCCTGTGTGAAAAGATCCAAAAGGCCAAAAGCCTGGGAGTCTGTGGTTGCCAGTCACTACAAGACCCAAAACTGGCACTGTTCAGTGGGACTAGATCCCATGGTCTCAACATGGCCAGTTTGTTCAGCTGCTGCTGACTGTCAAGTGCATCAGATTCAGGAACCAGACTTTTTCACCTGATGGGGTTAGGGGTTAAGGTCACAAAACACATTTCGCCCCTCATCAGTAAGCCTGGTAATTGCATGTACCTGTATCTCAATTTTTCAAGGCTAACGTCAGATGATAGCCTTTCTACTAGGCTACCCCCCCTGTCTCAATGTTCAAACTAGAAAAAAAATTGCAATTTTGCAGAAAAAAAAAATTGCTACGAGCCCAGTGCTTTTCAATTTGGCTTTCTCACCTAAAGTTTATTTATTCACCTGAACTGCAACTCCTCTGCTGTTCTCGTTTTTTGAATTTTGTTCTTCATTTTATTCTCTCAATAGTCACTGCCATTCATTTGCTACACAGATTCAATCTCAACATTCACTGACATTCATTTGCTACACAGATTCAATCTCAACAGTCACCGCCATTCATTTGCTACA